TTGACTAAGGTGAGAGAATTTTTCGTTTGGTTTTAAGGGGCAGTATTTGTGTTACAAGGGAGAAAGTTTACGTATACAAGATAAGGAAAAAATTCTCTACAAATATTATGGGGAGGGGAAATGATGGCTTGGAAGAAGATGTTTCCTAAATTTTAAAATTTTTCAAGGGGTTAACTATATTTGATCTAGACTTATATATATTATTAAATCATTTTTTATAAGTCTTAAGATTTAATATATAATTTTCTATATTATTAATAAATTTGTGTACTTATTACTATCTTATCGTATCGGTAAAGTCATTTATAAAGACTTTTTTCAAGACTTATTTACTGAGATTAACCTTTCTTTCTTGATCTTCATATCATTAAAAACTTGATATCAACCAAACAACAACACCGACCTAATATAATCAAAATGTGTGCAAAAAAAAACTCTGTTAATTGACAGGTTCCAAATTGCATTATTGTATCTGTCAGCTGATAAAATATTTTTGCATAATTTTCCAACCTGCCTTTTTGGATTGCTACCTGATAAACAATTAAAGAAACATAAAAATGTGGCGTGATTGAAATTTATTTTTAGTTCATTTAAATGCAAGTAAATACTCCAGGTCTTTTTTGTTCTTCGTAAACAAATCTCAACTTCGTGCTGATATAAAGATGATGCTGCTGAAAAGGCAAGTAGCCTTTTAATATAAATATAGAAGTACTTAATTTTGTTTGATAAATGACTATGAATATTTTTATAAATGTATATTTGTTTTAGTGTTAAACACATTGTATATGCTGAACTTTTTTCACACATAACTCCAATCGAGACAGAAAAAATTGGCAATGCTCACATGAAAACGACACCGGCTAAGCAATTCCGCCTTTCTTCGCGACCAGCGATAACGGTATAAGCCAATGAACATCATTTTCCCATCCCGCCACTTCCCCCTAAAACCGTTCATTAATGGTTCCGGTTTGTGCGACATTAAAATAAAAGTGAGAGAGGAAAAAATCAACCAGAAAAATATGCTCAAACATTGCATTCAATGTTAAGTGCGTGCATTGCACTGCCCAGATACAAATGCATCTGTGGATGGGCATGTATCTGTATCTGTGCAGCGCTGTTTGTAGATACAACTAGAAACGCGTAGACAAGTTTGAAATTTACATGGCCGTCGAGTGAGTCAGTGGGCTGCGATATTTCTAAGATACAATCTGGCTGAGTTTTCTGTATCTAGAGAAATTTTCGGGTAACCCAACAAATGCGCACTTTGAATTTTGGCACAAATTTTGATTCAATTAACCTTCCATTTCAAGAGAGGTCAGTCTGCAGTCTTGACTAATATCTGATTGTTTTCCATTATTTAACAATCTCCTATCTTATTTCCCTGAAGTAGTTTTCTTAGGTGGTCATTGAACTCAATATGAAGCTTCTTAGAAAAAGTATTTGCAAGACAGTTTATTTGTTTTCATTCTTGGTATACGTTTCGTTCTGATGCAACTGGGATATCAATCAGAAATCTGATCCTGTATGAAATTTTGATTTAAAAAACTTAATTAAAGTTACTCCCTTGCCGACCGATAAGTTAAATATTTGTTAGCTTGTTATATTAACAAGTCGGGGAGGTTTCAACTGGGTCACCTTTTGGCTTATCAATGCCTGTACATATAAAAATTAATAATGAAATAAGTAGGAATGCAAGGTTAGCTGGACAATAGCGATTGTTTAAACACTTTAACAAAAGAACTGAAATTTAATATAATTCTGGAAACCGGGATGAGGCCCATTTAAGAAAGACTTTACATAATATAAATTATAAAAAAAGTATGTGTTTCTTTTTAAAGATTATAAAATAAACTTTAAAGACTTAACCAAATGTTTTTAAATTTTGGATTTATTCATAAACATATATTCTCAACATTAGAAACAAATTCTTCAAAATAGCTAAACATATTTGGATGGCAAATTTAATTTATAAAAACGTATGCCTTTTGGTAGGGTATAAAGCACAGATTATCATTAATATACCTTACATATATTTGTATAATTATACAGACTCATGTTTAAATATAAATTACAACAGACTTACTGCGAACATGATTGTAAAATAGGAGCAAAAAAACTCATAACAAAATAATCAACAGGAAAATGCATCTGAAAATTTTCCACCCCAACCTGCGTTTCATATGCGCAAAATAAAGTTCAAAACATTTCAATAGGCTGCCCTTTTACAACTTTTTTGCTGAATACTGCAATAGTAAAAATCGTAATTCGTAGTATTTTATGTCAATCGAACGCTTTTATTTAAGGGGAATCCTTTTGTATACCTAAAGTAATCACGTGTCTTAACAGGTGAATCGAAATACTTCCGGCCAGGACATAAAATTGTATAAGTGCTCGTCTGGAAAATAATTAGGGAATTGGTAAAAGTATACCAAAAGTGAAGCAAATATTTCCGGCGATAATGATTGCAAACCTTATCTGATCAGTTAACGCCCACTAATAAAGCGGATGGTAAATTAATCAAAAATAAACCAAAAATAAACTTTCCATTTAGTTGATTTTCCTCTAATTTTGCCGTTGTGGTGTGAATATTTCTCAACGCCTACACATGTTTTAGCGAAAAGACACCTGGCTGCACAGTGAAAAAACTAAAGATTAAACAGAAAAAATGTTGTATACCATGTACTTGTGAAGCATAGGTATGAAAGTAGGTAAAACAAGTTTTTCTAATATGTTTGGGGATTCAAAACTATTGCAATTATAATTAAACAGAAGCATACGAAATGATATTAATTATAATTTTAAATAATGATTCTTTCTGTGTAAAGGAGTTAATTAAATCAGCAAAGTGCAACCTAGTTTAACGGTTTCAGAGGTTTTTGTTTAGCCTGCGAATTTCCTCTCTTATTTTTTAAACACCTAATAGGTGCTTGTCTAATCGAGCGTTGATTAAGAACACATTGTTCTTGTGTCGCAGTGGGGGAGATTAAATTGTTGTTGCCAGCCGGTCGTGCGACCAACTAAAATAGCAAATATAACTCCTGCCCCCTTACCTCCTCTTCCTTTCTTCAATGTTAAGTTCAATGACTAAATTTGAAAACGTTGTTCTTGCTACTTTTCGACGGTTCTCCTCGAGAATCTCCGGCAAGGTTTAATCAGCCCGACTGTCTGTTATCAGCTCTATATGCTGCGATGGCCTAGTTTCTTCATCGTTTTTGTGGAAGATGGCGCAAATGGGAGGTGCAGAGGTGTGAGACCAGGGGGAAGGTCAATTAATAAATTTAATGAACATGAATAATGCATATCAAGCTGAGCCCCATGAGTGGGGAAAGTCCGGCTTGGTCTCCGTTATGTTATACATGGGTTGAAAATAATTTAAAATTACAATCGCATGGGTGAAATAAACTGTTTTTAAAAGTTGAGTTAGACAGAGAATCTTATATATTTCATATATTTAATTCAAAAGATTAATATTTATTACTTCTGAAATTGCTTCAAATTTATTTTAATTTTTTTTTCACAAATTTCGTTAAATTGCATTTGCTGATACACTCTGACAATCTTTGTTGGTGGTCTAAATTTGCCGATTTTTAAATATTTATTAATTACGCCATAAATTTGAATATAAAATTCCAATCTTTATTGAGATAAGAGCAATATTCTATTCGTTTAATTGGGCTATTTTCGAAAATATAAAACATTCGGACTGCGACTTAACTTGGACGTGGAACAGACTTATACACCTGATGATCCACTGATCGATTGAGTGATCAGGCCTAGTTCCGCTTGGGGGGTTAGCAGATCACCGATCGAGGGCTTAAAATAGATTGCCAAGGCCTTACCGAATCCTAAGGTATTTTTAGTTGGAACTTTGCCTTCCGGATTTGTTATTGATTGCCGCCGATCACGCCCACCTAATCAGGTCCGATAATCGGCCCTATTCCAGCAAAATCCCCAAGATTTCGTCGAGCCCGAGTTTCCAGGCCCTTACCGGGCTTACTTAAGTCTGGCGTTGGCGCCGCTGTCAAACAGGGTGGAAAAAGTCGCTCACGTTGCTCGGATTCCCGGGCATATAGTATGACCACTATCAGTAAATGAAGTATTTCAATTTAGATTTCTGGGCAGGCTGGGGGCGATTAGTTAACATTTGTTTTCAGCGTGTCCAGCAGCGGCCTAAAGGCCCAGAGCCCGAGACGGATGAGATAATTAGTGCCGCATGCACAAACACACACCCCCCTTTTGCGCCTAGTTTGCATATTTATAGACAAGGTTTATGGGTTTGTTGTGCCCACCTCCAATCTGGGATTATAGTACCCGCCGGACTCTGCCTTCTCCAAGACCTCGACTGCGGCTCCAAAAACTGGCGAGATTGGCTCCTTCCAATCTTGGCGATAGGGCGGTGGAGGTGGGTCGCTAATGGGTGTGTTTTGGTGGGCGTTCAGGTCCCGATCGCCAGATAAGCGCAACAAATTTGTTTAGATAATGAGCAATGACAGACAGAATGTTGGCACAAACAAATTATACAGCAGTTTTCAGGTTAATTCATTATCGCATTTATTTGGAAAGAAATTGTGAGATTTTTGTAATCATTATACATAAAGTCTTATCTAATAACTTTGTAAACTTGCATACATTTGTATGAGGATAATCAGGGGGATGTAAAGAAATTTTAATGATAACTAACTAGACTACGTTTTATTTTACCGCATTACTACTATAGTTAAGAAGTTAAGTTCTTTTTTTCAAATGGAAATTTATTTGCAATAAAAATTTATTTGTAATAATAATGGATAGATTGAATTTTTAAAAATATATTTGGGCTCTTAGACGGTGATGAAAATATTAACGTTTTTATTTGAATCTACAATTCATTGGCGCCCATTAACACTGCTTGGCGTAAACTGCTTGTTAACCACTGTTAACCAAATGTTAAATATATCTGTCTGGCATCACTGGCGCACGAGAATGTGTTGCGCCGCACTCTATCTTTTGAGGGTTTTTAAGAGAGTTTTTCTTATTTTATTACAAAATTGTCCAAAAACTAAGTGGAACGTTAAAAAACATAAAAAACTACTTATTTATCAAATGTGAAATTGGCTGGGAAACGCCCGCTCTATACCGTTATTTTACGAGCTGTCCTCCTTGGTCACACTGCATAATTTTGTAAACAAGCAAAAAGTAATTTAGCATAGAAAATCCACACAAATTAGAATAGCAACACCATGGTAAGTGTTTTCGTAATTGCACTAAGTAAAACAACCATTTATCCGCTGCTCGGTTTGCAATCTTCGGGTTTATTTAGACACTGATATTAATTAGAGGACCAGAACTTTGGCTGTTCGTACAATTTAAGGGGAAAACGCTGGGAAACCCAGTTTAATAGTCCGGCAGGATCGGTGGTTCCGGGGACCTTTTGCCGCCCCAGGAGTGGAACCGTTGCTTCTTGCCCAAGACCACCGAGTTCCGCTTCTCGTCCCGCTGCAACTGGGATTTAATGCGGCATCTCTCGATGACGGCATCCCGGATGATGGATGAAAACTCCGCGTCCCCGAATTGGGCCATCAGTAGCCGGAAAAAGGCCCAGATCTCGCCCCGCTGGGAAGTAGGTGGTGGGGCATAGTGCCGGAAAAGCCATCCCTCCGAGTCCGAGTCCTGTCCGCCTGGTCTCGAGTTGTACGCATCGCAGACGTCCTCGAAACTCAGGATTGCCTGCAGGATGAACCTCCGGTACTTCGAGAGTTGCAGCTCACAGGTGCCCAGCTCCGAATCCTGCCCAGAAGTCGGTGCCGGGAGACTTGCTCCGTAGATCTCACGGCCACAGGCCAGGAACACTATCCAAAGGACTATCTGCATCTTCACCAGCGGTTTTAGCTGCCCCAATCCTCTCGGCCAACTGCGGTGATTGGCGCCGCGTTTCGCTGCTTATATAGCCACCCGATCCGTGGTGCACTCACCACCCAACTACCAACTTTGAAGTCCATAAAATAATTATAAAACGTTTGTCGTTCGCATTTTCTAAGCCGTTACACACGTAGCTAAATAAATACGAGTGCGTATTAATAAGCGTCTACCCGTTTTCCACAATGGCAACAAGTGTCATAAATTTTCACTCGCTTAACTCGCTTCTCCCCTCCGAACTTAGTTTATTAATCCTGCCCAGAGATAAACGTGACGTGCACTTGAAACTGAGACGAGCTCCCCGAACGGGCTTTCCTTATATGCTAGGTTTTCCCAGCCCCGGAAAATGAACCACCCACCCACCACCCACTCACTCAACCCTTTTTGTGCTCGCCACTTGTACAAATTGCTCGCTGATTAGCAGGCAAGCGTATGAAATTAATCATATGCAAATATCGTCGACTTTTCTTTTCCTTGACGCGACGTTGTTGCTGTCGTGGGAGTTCTTGGGATCCCGGTTATCCCTAAAGGGTATCATTAGTTTATTAGGGCAGCTCGAAACGCACACGAGTTCAGCATTTGCGACCCAAACTAGGTTAAAAAGCTGTCAGTTCGTCCTCCCGGTGAAAATATGGTTTATATGGGTCAAGGATTTCTAAGTAAAATATTAGCTTTTTACACTCAACAATATTGAGTAAATTTGGGAAATGGTTTATAAAAACAATATAGGTATAAATTAATTATTTTAACTGCTTAAATATCCTTTCCTGATATGATTTTGATTGCAGTATATACCTTAAATTATATATTTATCAACTAAAATAACAATAACAAAAAATATAACGCAAGTAGTAAAAAACATTTCAAGGGTATTAACTACTCCCACGCCCTTTTTCTTTATGTTTTTCCAAGTGCTCTTCATTTGGTTCGAGCCCACTTGTTGAAGCGCTCTGGTCTTTAATTTACTTGAAAACGTGATGGGTTAACTTGGCTGTAGGCGTCCTAGAATCGAAAAGGGGAGATGCAAACTTAAATTATTTCCTTTTCTCAAATTACCTACATTTTATTTGGCCTTTACAGAAATTCCGTTTCTGTGGCGAAGGCGATTGTCCCGACTGGGTTTTAGCTGAGATCATTTCCACACTCTCCAACTTAAGCATTGACAACCTGGAACAACTTAGCGATCTGGTGGCTCTGCGAATTTGCGGACAGACATTTGAGGTATGTATATGTTTGTGTAACTAAAAAATATTAACGAAATGTTTTTCTGACAGGAATCTAAAATAAAATCCCTGACATCCACACTAACTAATGAGGGCAAAACCGCTGTGGCTTGCATCCACTTTATGCTGAACAACGCAGCTCGCTATAGCTGTACCGAAAGTATTTTCGGAGAGGAGATCCAACAGCTGGGACTGCCCAAGGATCATGCCGCAGCCATGTGCAGAGTCCTCCAAAAGCATTCCGCTGCCATACGCCAAACACTAATAGACAAAGCTTTCAGAAGTGCGTGGTGGTATTTTACCGAATTAAGCGGCCAAGCTCTCAATTTAACAACCATTTATTTCAAGCTCTTAAAACTGTAAAACCTCTAAGTTTTAAGATCTTTAAAAAGATATCAGTCTTGAAACTCAATTAACTAAAAAATCAACTCAAACGATAAACCCCACATAATGGGAAAATTAAAAAATGTACAGACTATTGAATTTCTATTTTTAAATCTTTTGGATAATGCTTGATATAATTTAGTGAAATGATTTCAAAGTTAAACCGAGAGCATGGCTTTCAGATATTCTATATAAGTTTACCATATCTTAAATATATTTCTTACTCCTCCAAAGTTAATGAACTGCAAAGCGTTCGGGATATAAGCTCGCCTGGACAAACGCCGCCGAATTACACCACTTTGGAACTAAAAATCTCGCAAGAATTGGTCGATGGCCTTCCAAAGGACACCACGCATATTCTTAACATAGATCGAGCACAAGCAAAGGCTCTGCTTGCGGAGCTGAAATTGGCACGCGATGCCATGCAGAAATACGATAATAAACAAGATTCCTAAAGTATAAATTAATAGTAAATCGATTATTTTGTTTACTATTTTTAAATGTTTTCATTATTATTAATATTTATATAAAAAAAGATTTTTTAAGTGAAATAAAAGCTTTGGAACGAAGTCTGGACTAAATACTTCATCAAAAGCTGTATCCTTATTTGCACAAAAAGCTTATTTAATTACGACTTGAGACATAGATGGCGTCCTGAACGTTTTTTATTTGAAAAGTGTTTTTCTTATATGCAGTTTTTTAAAAGCTTTTAAGGGCATTGGCATAAATTTTATTTAATAAAAGGACATTACCAGAAAGCATTTACATTTATATTAATTTAGTAAAATAAATTGGTCTTAATTAAAAATTATTCAAAGAATAAAGGTTTAGAAATTATAGTACAAAACAGTGCATTATTTTATTATTATATAAAACAAATTAGGCGAGACTACAGTTCTTAGCAATTAAATCTAATTTTTGTTAATACTTAAAGTTCCCTCAATAAATTGGCAGATCGCACTCATAAATGTCATCAAAAGCCAGCCACAGATTTAACCCCTTTCAGCCGACATTTAACCCAAATCGGCAGCACAGATAATATTGCAAATGCCCCATGAAGTGTGTCGAATTTAATCAACTGCCCTGCGACATTTTTAGTGCCCATGCAGCCTGATTATTAATTATAGCATAACGTGCGGCGTAAATAAAGTGAAATTTGTTAATAAAAGGCCGGAAAAATAACCCTTTTCGTGGAATAGGGGCTTACCTTGCTCCTGCTTTCCACATTTGCTTATCATCCGCTTTGGCCACGGCAATTACCGTCGCATCCTTTGGCCATCTTCCTGCTTCCGGTTATTAAAATTATCAGCACTGGCCAAAGGGAGGTGGAAAAAACGAAGAAAATTTCAATTAAAAGTGTACAAAAAAATAGGAATAAATTAATTTCTCTCGCTTGCTCTGTCTCTCTCCGGTGGATTTTCTAATTATGAGCTTTGGCTGCAGCAGCTGCGGAGGTTAAAAGTTGCCTTCGTTTTTATAGCAAATTTTGTTGTATTATTTTTTCAATTAAACTTGACCATGTCAAAAGTGAAAAAGACGGAGAGAAGTCCGCGACATTTTGTGATTGCTGCGCTTCGTTTTTTTTTTTTTGGAATATTTTCATTTTATTTTCTGAATTTTTTCTGTTTTTGGCCACATGTTGCTGACACTTGCAGCAGCCGCTGGGATCCTACTTCCCTTCTTTCTTGAATTTCCGTCCCACTTGGAACTTTGATTTATGATGCCCAATGAAAGAGATTCAGCACCGCCCCTTTTGGCATTGTCACCTGCTTTTTAATTAAATTTCTCCTCAAGGTCTCAATGAACTGCTGCATTGATTTCTGCCCCTCTTCCAGCATTGTGCAAATATCATATCCGAAGGTAAATAAATGTTCCACGTAGCTCTGTTCCAATTACCCCGGCAACTATTTACTCAGCATTTAGTTGGCGGTGCCTCATGCTCATTTCCGTCCTTCGTTCGCGCAAAATGATATCTAAACATTCGTAGTGTGGGTGTTTGGCGCAAAATTCGTGTAAACAAGGCGGCAATGTCAACAGAAATGGTTCACATAATATGGTAAGGAGGTGAGGCTATTGTGGATGGATGGGGCGGCAGAAACTTGTCTGTCAAAAGTGTGGGTAGAAAGGTTAGTAAGAAGAGTTCTTTCAGCATAACACACACTGCCTAAAGATCTTCCAGTTACTCACACTTCAAATAAAAAAAAACCATAACTTTTAAGGGCCACATTAATTAAGTTCAACTAACTATAAATATATTGAAAACAAATTTTACAAACGTCTTATCTCTTAGACGTATTCTGGACCTTGGATGATTGATTATGTAATAAGAATATCAAGCTTGTTAAGGTATTCGTCTTTAATAATTTTTTCTTCAATCGACTTGAGCCACAAATATTTGAACAATGTTATAATACCATTTACAATAATGATAATTAAAGTAAATTGATTCAAAAGTATGTAATGTTACCATTTGTGCAAATCGAATTAAAGTTGAAATTTGATACTTTTACTTTAAAATACATATAAGATTTGCTTTCAATTTTTATTAATGAACCTTTTTATATTATTTTTATAGGGTTACACTAGTTTTTTGCCATTATTTTCTCTGCACTTAACGGCGTAAAATAGTGTGGTAAAATGATCTTACTTGTTAACTCCAAATTTGATCAAAAATGTATAGAATTTCTATCAAATGTTGTTTAGAGACCCTCGTTTGTGTTCCCAACCAAACTGGGATACCGCAACCCACAACCGATTTCGTCTGGCAACGCCCAAACATGTGTAGCGTTATGTCAGCCCCACCCATCTGAAACCCACCTCCAAACCATCCAAGCCATTTTAACCATCCCAACCATCCTGCAAAAGGCTGTCACATTACGCGCCTGTTACCATATCTTTACAACTGTATCTGCAGATCGTCCTCCACGCACTTGTATGACAAAGCACAAAACTTAAAAACCTTATGCATGTGATTTGAGGGGTGATGAGGAGGAGGAGGAGGTGGAGTGGGTGGTGGGTGTATTTTGTTTGGGCGGAGGACACAAGTGTTAGCCTTTTGTCTACGGTTTCGGTGGTGGAGGCCGGAAATCCTTCTTGTTGCTCGGTTGCTGCTTCCGTTCCGGTTTTTAGTTCGACGATGATGCGATGTCGCACCCCTGCGATGACTTTTGGGGTGGTGGTGGCCACCACTATTCGCCACCCCCTGGGTGTCCTTCGTTTATCGAGGCAGACGAGGGGAGAAGGAAGTTTTTGACTTTTTCAATTTGACTTTTGCTTTGGGTCTTCCTCGCCGGGTTACCCTAGGCGTAATAATGAAATAAACGTTTCGCTAAATGCCTACGTATTTCGCACTGAGGGAAAGGGGGTTGCTTACCAAGGGGTGGGAGGGGATCTCATTCAATTAATTCGATGGGATTTTGGTTTTGCGAGCTCATTGTGAGCAGAAATGAATCAAGTGGAGGTCCTGGTTTTGGATAACCACACTTGATTCTAACGAAATGTATATATTTAACACAGCAAAATAGTAAGGATCACTTGTTTTATAATAATTAAACTGAAAGTCAATTAGTCCGATCAACATTTCAATATTTTCATTTAAGTTGAATTTTGAAGGAATTTTTCTGGTACACAGCTGATCGAAATTTAACGATTCTAAGATATAGTCGTTGAATTAAAAATTACGCCCTTCTTTTAAAGTGAAATTTCCTGCTTAAATTTTGAAGTTTTGAAAAGTTTTCAAAGACGTTTTAATGAAAACCTTCTTCAATCACGACATACTTTTGCGCATCCATCGAGTATTCATATGAACTGAAAACTTCCTTTTCCACACCTCCCAACTGGTCACACCTGAGAACATGGCCAAGTGGGTGGTGAAATCCTCCGCACCCTTGGCCCAAAGCTGGTGGAGATTGACTGCTCCACATTAATCAACGCATAAATTTAACGCATTATTATTTATGTTCCTCCCACTCGCGAGCAGCCGCGCTTGTTTCATTTTCGAAATAGAAATTGTTTTACAAATGTCACGCGTACTGAAACCAACCCCGACTCCTTCCATTCACAGAAACCTCTGCAATCCTGAACAAAATAAATGGCGCTAAAATGATTCAATTACCCAAAACGAAAAAAAACAAAGAAAAACATTTTTTTTAGGGAAACAGGTGGCCAGGGCCAGGCGACAAATTCTTGGGCTAAAAATTTTAGACGTGTTTATTGGCGGGCTGCTGCGAGCAGAGGGGTGGCACACACCTGTGAAAATGTAATAAGCGAAAATAAGATTTTAATTGCCAACGTTTATGGGTCGCGCTGAATGCCATTTTAATGTCCCAAATCCCATGAGCCACAAATGCCTTTCAAAACTTACCTTTACTTACGCTTTCTCCTGTTTAATGCAGGAATTCGACTTCAAAAAATCTATGTCTATGCCTATAATTTGTTAATAGCTTATTCCTTCAGTTAAAGCAAGCCCTTTTATTATAAATTGTGTAAGAATGCATTTTTTCGATAAAGTAACTTTATTTTTCATCTGAAATACAAGTTTCCCAAAACCCACATTTTTGTAATGTCTATTCAGGCACTTTCCTCTGGTTTTGGGGGATATAGCTCCTTTTTCCTGCTCTTAAGACCCACATTGGTCCCATTTGGGGTTCTAGGTCCCCAGGTTCCTGATATATTGCAAACTGATGTTCTAATTGCCGTGTGGATTCATTAGTTCGTTCTATTTGGTTTCTCCCAGTTTCAGTTAGAGCTTCGATTTCCAGCCAAGATTGCAAGATTCGATTCCTTGTTTGTCCTGTTCCCCGTCGTATTTGTGCTGGTGCGTATCCTGAGTATCTGTGTGCTTTCGCTTTGGTTGCATCCACTGGCAGGCGAGGCTAATGCGCAATTTCCACTTACCCTTCCCCATTCAATTCACGCTTCGTTAGACCCAAGGGAAAGACACTACGGGGTTATTCAGCTTCGACTACGTCCTCCTCACTTTTTGGTTGGTATTCTGCACTTAATTTAATGTTGTGCTGTTGTCAACGCAAGTAAATCAAAGTTGCGACTTTTATTTATGATTTCATTTATGCACTTTACCATTAACTAAAGTGGTCTTCCATAGGACGGGGTTGTCAAGGCGGGGAAAATATAAAATAACCCTTTTCACAGTCACATAAACTCCACAATTTAAACAATATGACATCATTTTAGAAATTTTAAAATCCTTTGGTGTAATTGTAATTATTGTGCATTTTAGTAATCAAATGTTTTTGTTTTTGTTTTTTATTAGTTTACTTTTATTCCTTGTACATGATTTGTAATCTTGTTTGGAATCCATTTTTAAAGGCTTAAAGTATTTTAAATTAAACAAGAGAGAACGCTATAGTCGGGTGCCCCGACTATCAGATATCCGTTACTCAGGTAAAGGGAGTGCGAGGGAGATGGAGATAGAAACTTTGATCACGCATAACTTTTTAACGAATGGTCCGATTTCTTTCTACATTTCGATAGGTATTGATAAACACAATAAAACTGCATTTTTACTTTTCCGAAATATTTAAATTTTTAAAATCGTATATAAGCGATTGTGGGCGTTAAAGGGGGCGTGGCACCTTTTTGAAACAAACTTGCGCAGCGTAGGAACTCCTAGAATCTGCATGCAAAATGCCAATCTTCTAGCTTTTATAGTTTCCGAGATCTCAGCGTTCATACGGACAGACAGACAGACAGACGGACAGACAGACGGACAGACGGACATGGCTATATCGACTCGGCTAGTGACCCTGATCAAAAATATATATACTTTATAGGGTCGGAAACGGTTCCTTCTAGCTGTTACATACTTTTGCACGAATACAATATACCCTTTTACTCTACGAGTAACGGGTATAAAAATTCTAATAAAAACAGCCGGGTTTCAAAGAATATTCCATATAAATTTATCCATCAACTTTTCATTGTCGAAATTGTCCAGCGTTGAAAATACCCGGCGAAGCTCTCTATTTTCGTTTGTACGTCTAACGTAAGTCATGGGTTCGCCCACCTGTCTAAAAATGCCCCAATTAGCCCGTTTGAAATCCATTCAGGTCTGATCAATCAGTGGTAGTCTTATGGACGGAAAATAAACAGTTTCTTCGGGTCGTTTGTACTATACATTGTGTTCCAGTCGCTAAATGCTCCACTACTGTAACGATCCCACATACGACTCCTCGAAACTCCTTTGGACCATGTGCCTGGAAGTGAAGCGGTGTGGATGCAGAGTGCCAGTTCCCAGTTCCTGCTCCAAGCCCAGATCTTGCTGTAATTCCGGATCCTGCTGCGGACCATGTGGCTCTTGTGGGTCGTGCTCAAAGGGCTGTGCTACCTGCTGTACCTCCTGCTGTGGGATATTCCCCGAAACATGCTGCGGCCCATGGTGTGAGTCCTGCCTGGATCCTGCCTGGTTCTCCTGGCTGGCCCCCAATATCGGCCGAGCCTGCTGTTGTGCTTGCATGCCAATTTGTCGGAAAAAGTGCTGCTGAGGACGAGTTATTGGGGCGTTTCATAGCACACGGTGAAGTATATATAGAAATAAAGTCAAGTGTTTCCCATTTCGAATTATCATTTTTTTTTTAAAAGAAGATTATTTAGAATTTCGGAGTTTAAAAATGAACTTAACATTAAAAGGATTTTAATAAAATCGGTGTTAGGTAATACCACGCGGAAGGTGGTTTTTTTATAAGTTATTCACTAAGCCTATAGGCTTAAAAACATTAAGTCGTTCTAAGCATTACTTCTCATCTGTGTTTATAACACAAGTAAAAAAAAGAAAAAAAGAAAGATGTCGGCAGCTGAAATTGAACTTGCGGTGCTTAGATTTCTGGACAGACGTTTTAACCCCTAGGCTACTCAGACAGGGTTAGAACAATTTTATGGTCATTTTAGAAAATGTTTCCTATGTTATAGAAAATATTTCTATATTTTGGGATTAATTTCTATTTTTTAAAAAATATTTCTATTTTTAAAAAAATATTTCTATATTTAAGAAAATATTTCTATATTTAAGAAAATATTTCTATATTTAAGAAAGCGTTTCTATTTTTTAGGGTTATCGTATTTTTATGGTTAATTTGAGAAAATTTTTCTATTTTTTAGGGTAAATAATTTTTTAGGGCAGAATTTCTAATTTGAAGAAAAAAATTTATAACAAGAAAGGAAAGCTAACTTCGGGCGGAGCCGAAGTTGATATACCCTTGCAGAATACTCTGTAAATTATATTCTCCAAAATTATTCATATGATGCATTCTTAATACTCATAAAAAATCCGAACTTCCTAACTTTAACAACAACAAAGTTATGGCATTTCCAATCGTTCAGTTATATGGCAGCTATAGGATATAGTCGGCCGATCCTTATGAAATTTGATAGGTCGGATTGATTGGCCAAAAATAAAATCCATAGAAAATCCCAACTTCCTAACTTTACAAACACCAAAGTTATGGCATTTCCGATCAATCAGTTATATGGCAGCTATAGGATATAGTCGGCCGATCCTTATGAAATTTGGTAGGTCGAATTGATTGGCCAAAAATAAAATCCATAGAAAATCCCAACTTCCTAACTTAACAAACACCAAAGTTATGGCATTTCCGATCATTCAGTTATATGGCAGCTATAGGATATAGTCGGCCGATCCTTATGAAATTTGGTGGGTCGGATTGATTGGCCAAATATAAAACCCATAGAAAATCCCAACTTTCTAACTTTACAAACACCAAAGTTATGGCATTTCCGATCAATCAGTTATATGGCAGCTATAGGATATAGTCGGCCGATCCTTATGAAATTTGGTAGGTTGGATTGATTGGCCAAATATAAAACCCATAGAAAATCCCAACTTCCTAACTTTACAAACACGAAAGTTATGGCATTTCCGATCAATCAGTTATATGGCAGCTATAGGATATAGTCGGCCGATCCCGGCCGTTCCGACTTATATACTGCGTGCAAAGGAAAGAAGGGTGTGTGCAAAGTTTCAATCCGATAGCTTTAAAACTGAGAGACTAGTTTGCGTAGAAACAGACAGACGGACAGACGGACAGACGGACAGACGGACATGGCTATATCAACTCAGGAGGTGATCCTGATCAAGAATATATATACTTTATAGGGTCGGAGATGTCTCCTTCACTGCGTTGCACACTTTTGACCAAAATTATAATACCCTCTGCAAGGGTATAAAAATAAGTACAATTTTTACTAAAATATAGAAATTCTTTCTTGGATTTAGTCACCCTTCAGTTTATGGCGACAATTTCTACATTTGAGAAACACTTTCTTGATTTAAGAAAAGTTTTCTTGTTTTGAGAAAAAAATTTCTTGAAAATAGAAATATTTTCTTGGATTTAGAAAAAATAAAGTTTTAGGGCGAATTTCTAAAATTTAGGGTTAATTTTGCTATGAGTGTACAAGTAGACATCGGCATGTTAACAGCCCATTCTGGCAATTAGTCTGCGACACAGTTACCTTTTAAGAGAACTTTGGTCAGATAGAATTTTTCTCATAATAATTGTAATCCAATATAATCTACCATTAGACAAAAAATTAAATCTTACTTTCTGAAGAATAGCATTAAATAAATACATTACAAACTTTTTACATTCTAATTTTATTCATCATCTAGGAATACTTTGGTAAGATAGAATTTATGTCAAATCACTTTTGATCTAATATAGTTAAAAATTAGTCAATATATTATATTAAATCTTATTTTTTAAAGAGTAGCATTAAATAAATATATTAGGTAGGTATAGGTACAACTCTGTGTATCAAAAAGTTTACCTTGAAATTCTGTGACTTTATGTATTTGATTTTTACTCGATACTTTTGGGATTTTTTGGAGAATGAAATTCATTTTGCAACAAATATCTGCTGCTTAAAAAAAATGCCATTGAATGTAAATAGATCAACTATTGTACTTTATTACCAATAGGAGAGAAATCTTGAAACGTCTATTTAATTATATTAAATAGTTTTTAAAGTTTTTACTTAATACAGCTTTAAAAAATTATTATTAGTTAATTTGAACTTGTGACCCAACAAGTTTTTGGGAAGCCTTTAGAATTGTGATAACAGAATATACTTTATTTTGAAACCACAAGTATTTGAGTACAGAGCCACTTAATTCCCATTAATCAAATTACAAACAAGTCCAAGTGCTGCAAAACCGTGCAATGAGGAATATTACTAATTGCCCTTGGTATGTGCGTGGGTCCACCCTCCACAGGGACCTAAATATCCACACTGTGGAGCAGCAGATTGGCCTACACACCAGTAGGTACAGCGACAGACTCCTTAGTCATCGGAACCGACTCGCAAGAAGACTCCTGCCAGCTAGACCGCTCAGGCGGCTCAAGAGACTTGGGTTCGCCAAAACAGACAACCATAAATATGATCTCCAATAAAGTCCTTTTGCTGAAGGCATGAGGTTCGGTTCAAATTCATATACAAAACTACATTGTCAAGGTACTTAAAGATTGTACGGGTTCTATGTTTAAAAAAAAAATATTTAAGAAAAAAAATTCCCATTGGCATTTTAATTTTATAAAAAATTCATTACCATTGAAAATAAAATTAAGCAAAAAAATCATATTCAGTTCAGTCCAAAAAAATTGTATTTAATTTTTTCAAAAAGTACTGTAAATATTTTGTCAGGATAAGATACATAAACCCATTAAATCTATTAGTTTAAGACTTAAGACTTTCACTTAAAATAAAAAACCGCGAAATTTATTTTAGGACCGTAATATACTTTTACGTTTCAATTTAAAAATGAGAGCAATAAAATTGTCTTGTCAACTCAATAAACCCACGAGCAGTCCACCTTAGTCTCGCAAATATACCCCTAATTGAATGCAAAATAAGAGAAAATGCAATTTTGATACCGCAACTGGGTCGCCATATTGTAAAACTATAAAAAAAAGTACATCAGTGTAATTCGTGCAAATCGCAAATCGTAAAAATTGAGCAAAAATTTTCAGGCGTCGCGGAAAGAACCGCAACAAATTGGGCCAAAAGGGCGAATTAGCCAGCGCGGCATAAAAACGCCGCATAAAGACGCACTTGCTGGGGATCAGGGCTAATAAAAAATTATAGATTTTCATCTTTGCATGTTTAACTTTTATCGCGTGGCAGTTTCACTCCGCTCATGTGTTTTAGGCCCAATTCAGGTTGGGTTTGCGGTTGCCTTCTGTTGCGGATTTCTTTTGCGGTTTTATGCTGCCGCAACCTGAGCGGGGCATAAAACAAATGTCATACTCAGGACCGAATCATGTGTGTCGCCCAGCCTCTTTCTTCCCCGGCTATAAAGATGTTTCGTATTTTTGCATAATCGTCAATTTTTGATTTTAAAAATTCGCCAGGAGGGTAGCGGGAAAAATAAGGGAGTGGGTACACCGTTGCCATGCTGATGTTCTTGGGTCAACAATAAAAATTCATTTTTATAATCTTTACATGTGTTACACCATCAATAGCCTAGGTATAAATATTTATTACTATTTTACGATTGATTTAAGTTTGGATTTTTCTTACCTTTTTGGGGAGGCTTCCCTTCGGTTATATTAGCAAATAATGTCATTGAAGGTCTCCTTAAGGGTTTTTAAGGTTGATGCAATTTTAAAAGCTTGGAAGTGTGTAGGATTAACGTTTTAATTTTACCGATTGTGCTGAACAAAATATCATGTTTTTTAAATTAAAGGTGCCATCGAAACCTATTTATTTATCATGTTTAGATCAAGTTGATCATATGTATATCTCTCCATGAACCATTTAAACTCTGCGCAAATCAAACCACGTTTTATACCATTTCAGAGGATATTATAATTTTAGTCAAAAGTTTGAAATACATTCTTGATCAGCATCAGCTTCCATTGGAACAATCGGAAAAAAAAACAAGAGAGAACGCTATAGTCGGGTGCCCCGACTATCAGATACCCGTTACTCAGGTAAAGGGAGTGCGAGGGAGATGGAGATAGAAACTTTGATCACGCATAACTTTTTAACGAATGGTCCGATTTGAAAAATTTCTTCTACATTTCGATAGCTATTGATAGACACAATAAAACTGCATTTTTACTTTTCCGAAATATTTAAATTTTTAAGATCGTATATTAGCGATTGTGGGCGTTAAAGGGGGCGTGGCACCATTTTGAAACAAACTTGCGCTGCGTAGGAACTTCTAAAATCTACATGCAAAATGCCAATCTTCTAGCTTTTATAGTTTCCGAGATCTCAGCGTTCATACGGACAGACAGACAGACGGACAGACAGACGGACAGACGGACAGACGGACAGACGGACATGGCTATATCGACTCGGCTAGTGACCCTGATCAAGAATATATATACTTTATAGGGTCGGAAACGCTTCCTTCTATCTGTTACATACTTTTGCACGAATACAATATACCCTTTTACTCTACGAGTAACGGGTATAATTAGAAAAAAATATAACTTTTTTGTTCTTTGGGATTTGGTAATATTTAAATATTATGGAATTAGGGTTTCATCCATGTTCTAAACTGAAATTTTTTTCCGAAAATAGGGTTATTAAAATGTTTTTTAT